TGTTCTATTAATAAATCATATCTAAAATTTATACATTTTATACATCTTAATAATTTGTATAAGACTATTTAATCTGTATTTTAAATTTTGCCTTATATAAGTTTAATCTATCAGCTTTCAGATTTATTTATGACCTCACAATTAAGATGTATTTGAAAATGTGTACTATTAATTATAGGGACAATACATGTATATAATGCCAACTTTGACAGTATATTTTATCTTAGTAATTTTGTTTATAAATATTAGTCACCTGTTACAGTTGTTTTATCTTTTTATAACTTGCATGTCATTTTCAAGGTTCATAAATTTCCACCCTTCATATTATTTTTCTTTTATATTTTGGTTGCTTGAACCTATTATAGAATGAAGGAAACATTTAAGGTTATTTATTCTATAGTAGATCCTTTCATTAGCTCAGTTATTTCTGAAATTTTATTGGGATCCACCACTTTCATTTGCATTGCCCATGAACACATTTGATTATGTCACTATTAATAGAAAACTAACTAATATCATCCATGTCATTACTGAGCACTTACTAAGTGCAAAGCTGTATCTTTTCCTATAACTATCATCACACTGCCCAGTGAAGTTTCTACCATCACCCTAGTAACAAATAAAGGACCAAAGCCACTCAAACATCCAAGAGGAGTCAGCTTGGCTCCAAGCTGCACTTGAGAATTGCTTCCACAATGGGATGATGCTCAAGCTTCCAAGAATTTCTGCACAAACACCAACTTTTAAACACCATTGTGGTCACTCTTATCAACACGCACGTGGTCACTCCTAACAAGCTTCAACTGATGTCCTCTCTCTGATATCTCCATTCCCATCTTCTGAAAAGTCAATACAAAGGCTAGCATTGATTTTGCTTTCTCTGTTAAAACAGTTGTGATAAAATGTAATAGTTTCATTTATTGTGACTATCTTGCAAATTGTCTAAAATATTTTATATTGTCTATGGTTCCATAAACTTTAGCTTTATTTGTACTTAAAATGAAATATGTAGCTGTATTGGTATCCATATTTTATTTAAATGGATTTAACTGGACTGTGTTACTCATGTTTATGAGATGTGTCACGAGTTGTTTATCAAACTAGAAACTTAAGGGACAAGTGACAAGACATAGGCCAGCAGTCCCTGACAACTGGCAATGCAATGAACGGAGAAAAAACCGTTTCCTGTCCTTCACAGAATCGGTCCTGCTTCTAGAAAACCAGTGCACTGAATTCACTAATAGAATAGCCTTTTAGGTTATAGGTTAAATGAACTGCAGGCTTTTGGTCTGTATTTGAAAATATCGCAACAATTTATGAATTACATTGCTTTTTAATTGTGTGTAGTCAAATCAGAAAATTGCAGTGTAGGTGCTATAATAGAAGAGAATAGCATGATGATTTTGGAGAAATTTTTCCATAAAATGTCCTTTGAAAAAGAACATTATTACAGAGAATAACCTTTGAGGTCCATTATACATTCTGTGCTAATAAATTGCATGCTATTATTTGTAAAATAGTAAAACAAAAACAAAACCCTTTCTATTTAATTGTTGTTTTGTTTTGTTTTGTTTTTTTTCCTTTTTGTTTTTTTTGAGACAGGGTTTTTCTATGCAGCTTTGGTGCCTGTCCTGGATTTCGCTTTGTAGACCAGGCTGGCCTCAAACTCACAGAGATCCACCTGCCTCTTCCTCCCGAGTGCTGGGATTGAAGGTGTGCACCACTGCTGCCTGGCTATTTAATTGTTTTTAAAATTATCCAAGATGCCAAATAGAGCTAATTCAAAAATAAACATTATATTTTTAAATATTATATAATTTTTCATGCTATTTGATACTTAATTATGAATGATTATGCTAATTTATTATAACATATAAATCACAGTCAACTATCATTTGTACTGCTAAGTTTCACAGACAAATTACATGTTTCTGAGCCAATAAGAGAACACTGATTTTCAAGAAGAAAAGTAAGTTAATCAATAAATCACTGCCAAGAATGGAAGGGTGAATCACATTCAAGATGGGAGAAAATTCAAAGTCCAAGAAGCACGTAGACTGCAATGCCATATTCTCCTTTGAGGAAAACCCTTGAGAAAAACAGAAATCACATGTGCATATCCCTTTATAGTCTTATCCAAAATACCCCGTGCTTCCGGTTTCTGAGAATACATAAAATGTTTCACAAAAGAGTTGCTTAGCAGGATGCCTTTAACGAGAAGCACTAAGGAGGGTTTGTTAGTACTGTGAGTTTATCAAGAGTTATTTAGAATTATCCATACTGAAGACTTGAGAAATCCCGACAGGGGCTAACAAGGTAGACGCCATGATTTTAAAAACTCGTCTAATATTTAATACAATTCGACACAGAACTTCATGATATCATCACCGACACTCCAGGATTACAGCTAAAAGTGTAGCAGGTGCTTTATATGTGTAAAGCTTTGGGTTTCATGTCAGTTATCTGGAAACTGAAAACCTGGGTTAGCTGTAGTACCATTTCCTATGACTCAGTGGGTGACTGGCATTCATGTGCTAACCACCCTATGCTTTTAATGAAGCTCACCTAACCTTTCTGTAACTGTATGTAAACCAATTTCTATTTTATAAGGTGTTTCCTCCTCTCTCTATATTTTATAATACTAGATAACCTAATTTTCTATATTTTAGAACAGTAAATTATTTAACCTTTCTAGCCGTAGATAGCCCTGCTTTCGATATTTAGTGACAGGATACCAAAGATTCGATTATTTTAAAGTCAAAAATCTATAACAATTGATTACCTAACTTGCAATACTTCATTATGAAAGTTCCTTTATTAGATTAGTTTGGGGGAAAAACTGGATATACCATATTAAAATACATTATCCAATAGTAGTTTTGTAAGTGGCACATAAAGAAAATCAAAATAGGGAAATGAAGACTGGAGGTGTGAGTGTCTCTTATTAAAAAGAAGACATGATTCGTAAAATTGTGGTCTAAGAAGCTATTAATATGGAAACTAAACATAACTTAATCTTGACTGAAAAAACATACTCTGTAATTTTCTTTGACCTTTAAGAGAGAAAGGTTAACCTTGAGATACTGGGAGACAGGGCACCAAGGTTAACCTAGAGATGACGGGAGGCAGAGTACCAAGGTTAACCTAGAGACACTGGGAGACAGGGCACCAAGGTTAACCTAGAGATGACAGGAGGCAGGGTACCAAGCACAGTTCCACATTTGGAAACAAGTACAGCTGTACCTTAGTGACTGGATTATAGTGTGGAGTGAGCAGAGAACAGATCCTATCCCCAGAAAAAGAAAGGCTGTGATTTTTGTTATGCTCTAGTAGATTAGTCAAACTCCATACGGGGTCTTACAAAATGTAAGATAATTTGCTCTCAAAATAAAGAATCCAATTTTCATTATCATTCATCTCTGGCTTCTAGCCAACTATTTCCACTACAAAACTAAATTTCAGAATCACTTCATTTTAGAGCAACAGTTTTAAAACTTTAGTCTAAATGGACTTTAGTCTAATCATCTAATGGAGATTTCACAGGTGTGAAGAATGCAGAGAATTGTATTTCTAAAATGTCCCCAGGTGCATGGATGTCAGTGCTCTGGGATTATACTTTGAAAATTATGAAATTATCTTGTTCAGTATAATTAGTTCTTTATTAGTACTCCAGCTTTTTCCAAACCTAAAATGTTTAGTGTCAAAGGTTATAAAAATTTAGGGCTTTAAACATTCAGTCATCAAAGAGTGGTGAGGACTTCAAATTTGTGTTTTGGAAAACAAAAACTCTTAGCCATACCTATAGCATCTCTTTGTTCCAAGACTCTGAAATAATCCTGTAAGGTATTTCAAATAAGAACCATTGCTACTGCTTTTAGAGGACTTGCTTGCTTATTTATTTATTTATTTATTTATTTATTTATTTATTTATTTATTTATTTATTTATATTTACTGTTTATGGTTTTGAAACAAACAAGAAAGGTCTCACTGCGAGGCCTTGGCTGGCCTGGAACTCACTTTGTAGACCAGGCTGACCATGAACTCACATAGACCTGCCTGCCTCTGTTTTCCCAGTGCTGGGATTAAGACTTATTTTTTTATTATATGACTGATACAGCTCATTCAACCAACCATGCTTCTGCCTTTTCTGTCTTTGCTTGCTTTCTTGATTGATTTATTTTTTGTTTGTTTATAAATAGTGCTAATGATTGTATCCAGGGCATCCTACCTTGTAGGCAAGTGTCCTACCAGTTAGCTGAGCCCCATCCCGTTGCTGCCTGTTAGGATGCCACACTGCACATCTGGCTCATTACATCTTGAGCTACCTTTCCCTTACTTTGTCCTGGCTTTTTATTTTTCATGACACTCTTTTCTAAAATGATGATATTTTTGAGAATATTATATGTAATGATCATAGTAGACAGGATACTCATGCTAAACAATAATTATGATCCTAAAATGCCTTTAAAAATATAAAGGCAATGAAGAGCAAGATAAATAATACTCTTAATTATCTTCCTGGCTAGAACTCTTATCTCAATTTATACCCAGAGGATAATTTAAAAATATATTTGCTAAATCACCTTTTGAACCTTCTAACCATATGTTTGCTCCCATAACTCAGTAATAAATCAGATTTAATTAAAGTGCCAAAGTAGTAAAACAGAAAAAGATGTATTAAAAAAAACACATAGGATGATAATGGAAGACTTCCCTAAATATTTTTGGAGGGATACAAATTTTATCAAATAAAAAAAAATCTAAAAGCTTTGGTCTTTAGGTCTGTAACTTTATATGTTATATAATAATGTGTTTCTAATAAGGAGAAGTATATCCCTAAGAGCTGGTACACAAACACATTATACATTTTAGCATTTAATATCACTGGGCCATTACATTATATGTTTGTGTCTGACTTATCTATATTCAGTCACTTAAAAGAATCTAGCAGCTTCATATGATTGCTATTTTACAACTTTTAAAAAGAAAATTGTCTTGCCTTCGAATGGTAATCTTGTTCCAGTCTGGGATCTGATCCGGCTACCTGTTTGTATTTGTTAATTTTCATTTGGCGATTTCTCTCCTCTATATCCATAGCACCTATCAAGTAGAAAAAAACCCATAAAATTAATGTTCAGTTCTTACTTCTAAATCCTAATTAGGATGTATAAAAGAAGAAATGTGAGGCTGATCTGTTGTTTTCACTCAAAGTAGGAGATATAAATTAAATGTAGTATTGTCTTTATTTTAAGTTAAACTATGCATTTTGGTAAATAAAAGCATGACTATTAAACATAATAACTTCAATCTGAATAAAATATACTTGGATTAAAAGAGAAGACAACTAGATTAAAAAAAACATTGGCACATCTGTGTCCAGAAGAATAAATTTGATAGTACACAAATTTGGCACAAGAACTTTGGCTCTTAATTCATCATGTCAATCTAATTGGTTTGCAACTGATTTCTAACTGTTTTCCAATGCAATTTAAAACTGCACTTTTAAGCTACTGTCATAAGATGAGGCTCCTTGTTAAAGCAAGGTTTCCTAGAATGCATTATAAATCTAGTTATCAGGAATTTTTAAATTTGAATTTTCTATAACTAAAATTAAAAAGTGTTTATGGAATACACTTTTCATAATACCATGCTGGTAAATATATAAAATATAAAACTACTGAAATCAACTAAAAGTGGAACATAAAAAATGAGAAAAATGAATGATAAGCGTATTATAAAAGGAGATCAGTGTCCTCGGTAACTGTTACTATCTCAAAATAAATCAATTTTAGATGGGTTTTTAAACTCTGATTTGAATTAAAAACCAAATTAATTTAACCAACCCTAACAAATATAAATGGAACATACTAAAAGTATGATTTCCATAAAGAGAATTTATGCGAAGATTATTTTTTTTTAAACATATACATTGAAAAGCACAAAAGAGGAAATGAGTTTAATGGACTCACTGGTGGCTATAGAAACACTGTCATGTAAATTTATAAGCATTATGCATGTAGACAGGAATGTAAACACACAAATACATACATACCCTTTGCTCAAGATCATAACTTTAAAGCTGAAGTAAAGATATCTAGACAAAAATGTACCCATCAAAGTAAGCATCTAATACTTACCTGATCCAAAATAATAATAATAATAATAATAATAATAATAATAATAATAATAATAATATAAATGGGATTGAAAATGCAGCAACATTATTAACAGTTACAGAATCCTCTCCTCAGTCAGTGTTTTAATTATTTTAAAATACTACTTATGCTCTGTAAAAATTTCATTATATATCAGATAAGTCTTGCTAGTAACAAATTTTAAGTGAAGACTGGGGAACACAATTTTCTAGAAAGATTAACAAATTCTTGGGTAAAAGTATGCATAAAAAGAATTAAATTATATGACCTCTAAGTATGTCATCAAATTGCGGCTGTGCTATGAGACAGGTTTGGGTGGGCCTTAGCCTTCTGTCTCAGGCTCCCGAGTGATGGGATTGCTCCTGTTTCTATGTTCCTGTTTCTATGCCGTCAAACTTAGATCAATGAATTATTCAGTAAGTAGTCAAAAAACTCTTAAAATAGTCATGTTTTAATAACAGTATAACTGAATCCATATGAAATTTAAGATTGCAGAATAAACTGAATGATATATTAAAACATATGAATCCCTGTGACATGAAATATAGTCAAGTCAATATAATACCCGTTAGTCCATTAAACTACACCCGTGAAATTGTTCATAGCTCAAGAAGTACTCGGACATAAAACACATTTATTTCACAACAGCAAAAGAATAAAATTAGCCCTGGATGAAAAAAATATGTGTAGTGAAAATATGTTATTAGCTAAACATGTTTGGGAAAAGTCTTTAAAAAAAGTTTCATGTTGCTATCACAATAGTAAAATAGAATGCTAGATACAAATAATACCAATTAACAAGAAAATTTAAGCACACATAGACATAGATAAAAAATATATACACATAAACATAAGCCTCTTCCAATACTTAGACTTTTGGAATGGGAAACTTGTGTGACAGCTACAAGTAGTCCTGAACACTAGGAAGCAGTGTGGCAACAGGGAGGAAGAGCAAGCTTGTCAAATAAAGACCCAGTGATAATATACACTGTAGCTTTGTGGGTGTGGGTGTGGGTGTGGGTGTGCATGCGTAAGCGTATGTGCCTGCACGTGTGGAGTCCTCGTTTGTGTGAGTGCATGAGTGTGTGTGCATGTCTAGATCACAGGACCAGTTGAGGGGACACTGTGCACCCTGAGCTTTTGAGACGGGGTCTCTCACTGGCCTGACCTCATCCATCAAGTTAGGCTGCCAGGTCAGTGGACCCCAGGGATCTGCCTGCCTCTGGCTGTCCAGTGATCGGGAAATTGACAGGGATATCCACAGGGCACCATTCCCGGCTGTTGTCCTTTTAACCTGGGTGGCAGGTATGAACGCAGAGGGGCCTCACGCCCTCAGAGCGAGCAGTTTGCTGCAGGAGCTGTCTCCCCCTCCTCACTAGCAGATCCTTCTGCTGGTGTGCAGACTTGAACTTGGCTGCAAGTCCGCCATGGCCTGAGGAAGCAGCCATGGGCAATATTTACACAGAGGACTGTGGCCGTGTTCCTGTAACAAACCCACAGTGAACAACATGCTACATGTGAGAAAATGAGAGCAGGTCCTCTGAAATCAAGGGGAGACTGTCCATTCTCATCAGTCCTATCCAATACACCAAATAAACACCAATGGAATATTAACCGCAATCATTAGGCCAGAGAAAGAAACAGAGCACAGCGAAAAGAGCCATCTCCCTTTGTGGATTGTCTGACTGCCTGTGAGAAACCAGCAAGACTCCAGTAAGACTCTCAGAACTGATAAACCCAGCAAAGCAACAGGAGACAAAATCAACATAAAAATTAATAGATTTTCTATGTAACAACTACATTTGCAATAGCATTAAGACATTAAAATAGAATAACTAGGGATGAAAATATCAAGGAAATAAAGGTTCCTACAATCTAGAATGCAAAAAAACTTTCTATGTTTATGTATTGGGAGAATTAGTACTATTAAAATAGCCATAGCACCAAAAACAAAAACCCTGCAAATTCAATGCAATCCCCAAGAAAATATGTGGAATACTTTACAGAGTGAGAAAGTAAACAAACAATCAAACAAACAAAAAAATCGAGATTCAACCATAAGTAAAAGAAACCTCAAAATTCACCAAAGCAAGTGCAAGCAAGAAAACCAACGGCGAATGCATGACAATCCCTGATTTCAAAATGGACTCATAGTTAATAGAGATAGCTTAACTACTTGATAAAGACAGACATGGCAACCCACGGAATAGAAAACTCACCACTAAATCAATGCAGCAGCAGCTGAGTCTTGACAAGATCCCCAAATACACAGCAGACAGACAGACAGTGCTGAGCAAACTGGACACTGACATGGAGATTGAAACTAAACCCATACCTCTCAAATTTTATAAATACCAGCGGAAAAGGCATCATGGACCTTTATGAAAGACTTGAAACTAATAGTTGAAAAAAACAAGAGAACTCGTCAAGATTATAGCAAGGATTTCCTGAATAGGACTCCAATATCCTAGGGAACAAAAGCAAGAATTTAAATATTGGATTATATAAACTTTCCAACTTCTTCACAGCAAACAATCAACAGAATGAACGGACAACTTAATTGTCTTTGTCAGATATTTGTCTAACAGCATTAATGCACAGAATGCACAAAGAAATCAATAAACTTCCTTAAAGATTTGTTTCTAACCATGTGCATATTTGTGTGCATGTCTGCATGGAGAAACAAGTACCCAGGGAGGCCAGAAGTTAGCATTAGATCCCCAGGAGCTGGAGTTACAACTGCTTGTGGGTTCTGGAAAGTAGACTCTGGTTAATCACTGAGCCATGTGTCAAGCTCTCTAATACACTTTTAACAACAAAGAAAAATAATCAATGAAAAATGGGAAAATGATCTGAACAAACATTTTTTAAAAAATGACAAATGAAAAAGCAAAAAGAAATAAAAGTGGCTAATAAATAAATAAATAAAAAATGCTTACACTTTAGCCACCAGAGAGATAAAAATCATAACTACACTGAAATTTTTTTCACAACAGTGAGAATGAATGGCTGTTACAGTATTATTATTGTTGTTGTTTTAAGGAGAGAGTAAGAAATGTTGGTGAGCCGGCAGTGGTGGCACACACCTTTAATCCCAGCACTAGGGAGGCAGAGGCAGGCGGATCTCTCTGTGAGTTCGAGGCCAGCCTGGTCTACAGAGTGAGTTCTAGAAAAGGTGCAAAAGCTACACAGAGAAACCCAGTCTTGAAAAATCAAAAAAAAAAAAAATGCTGGTGAAGACATAGGGAGAAAGGGATCCTAACACATAACTGGTGGGAAAGTGAACACTGCCACTATGGAAAATAGGATAGGAGTTATTTTTAACAACAAAACAACACCAAACCCCCCAAGAGAACGAGAACATGACTACTGACAGTGTAACATCAGCTACATGACTGGTGGGTATTTAGTTGAAGGAAATGAGGCTCAAACATGAAGTTCATTGTGTCCCACTAGGCAAGTTATGGAATTAAACTGGGCACCTTGTCAACAAATGAAAAATAAAAAAAAACATGGAACATATACATAATAGCATATATTCAGCTAAAAAAATGAAATCATGTCATTTATAGAAAATGGATGGGAGGGTATTATGTTAAACAAAATATATTACATAATCCAGACCTCAGAAAAACAAGTATCACATGATTTCTTTCATCAATGAAGCTTAAAGAAAAACAAAAATTAAAAAAAAAAAAGATGATCCAAAAGAGGGCCTATAAAGGAAGGAGAAAGTAGTTAGAGAGAGGGGAGAGAGAGGAAAAGGGGCGGATGGGAGTGAAGCGATGATCAAAGGCCAGTGTTCCACCTATGGAAGCCACGGGGCAAAATGAACTAATCTGTACAACTAACAACATTTATGACTTAAAAAACTTACATTTATAAAATAAGCATGGTACAAGATTTACGTCTTGGCATATTGGTTTAATTTTACGTACAAAAGGG